AAGAAAGGAAAGAGATTTTTTCTGTGGGAACTTCACCAGCTCACAGTGTCTATACATCCTGGAGACGATCAGCTAGATTGATGCCAGACTCTGCTGCAACCAGTAGTGCCAGACTGGTGTTGCCTACACCCACATCCCAACATTGCACCCTCATTGACAGCACACCAGCCGCTGAAAGGGGGGGGGGTGCGCCTCAGTTGGAAGCCATATATCACCAATTACCTAAGATTCTCCCATATCCGGCAGACGGAGATATTAAAAATTACTTGGTTCGGCTTGAGAGAATGGCAAGGACACGGAAATGGCTAGAGGATGAATGTGCTGGTGCTGCTTCTGTCTGGTAAAGCACTGAACTCTTAACTCCGCTATGGAACAAGACATGGCCCATTCCTATAAAGACCTGAAAATGACTTTGTTGGCAAACATATCACCAAAGGTTTAGACTCCTGACGACACCAACTGGGGTAAAACGCATAGAGACTTATCGCCGACTGAAGGGCTTCTATCTTTGGGTTCAAACTCAGCAGCGGAGTAAGGAGGGAATTGGACAGGCAGTCTTGTTGGAACAACTGCTTCTTGTCATGTCACCAGAGGTGAGGATGTAAAGGAGCGTGAACCAACAGATGGAGTGATAGGTGTGCTCCTCCAAATCCAACAGGATCTGGGATCGTTGAGGGCCACCCTTCAGGTACTGAGAAGTATGAGACGGCACCATCTACCCCGGTAAGACTTGCTTTTGTTGTCAGCAACCAGGTCACCTGTTTCTGGTCATTTCCAGTTTGTCACTAACAGTCCCAGCTCACAGCAAACTCAGACAAACACATGAAGTCGGCCGACTGAAAAAGACGCTAATAAACAAAGAGAAAATGCCAACAGAATGCAAAACATCGGGCTTTCCAGTCCTCCTGCAGCACTGGAGCTCCGCGTTAGCTACAGGTGTTATGCAGGGAAAAGTTAACCTGTCTGCCGAGGTGCCTCATGCCTGCCTCGTCATGGGAATGTGCATGACTAAATCCAACTGCATACTGAGGGTGTAAACAACTTCTGCCATTTTCAAATATATTCATAATATAAACCCGCTTTTCACTCAATACTTATCAAAAACTGATACTTGAAGGGTAACTTGAATGTGTTTTCTTCTGATTTTAATGCTTTGCAGAAAATTGTTTCCTTTTTCTTCTTGTTTTAGTACTTTTCCCAAAATTATTTCTCATTTTCTTAATAATTTTAATGCTTTCCTGAAAAGTGTGGGATTGAGACTCGGGATCAGCAGAAACTCAAATAACTCTGAATCCGGTCAAAAGCAAAAAACGTGATCTGAACACCCCTAACTTCAATTATTACATAGATTACAAAGGTTAAAGTTTTGTGGAACAATTGATGGCTTTTGGCTTTGCAGAAAATGTACTAAAATAAATACAGTAGGGTGGCAGCTGGGACTTTCTTTGGCTTTCCAGAACCACCATGTAAAACATTTAGTTCACTTACAGTTTAATACATAACACAGGCTAAAAGTACATAAAAAATAACATTAGAATACTTTTAATATTGTTCTGATCAAACTTAAAAAATATGTTTGTGTCATTCTTTAATGGGAAGTGTGTGGGCGAGATCTGAGCCCATTAGGTGCCTTTGGACCGGAGGCAAGTGCATGTCTGCTGTTTCATGTCTCTTAGAGGAAACAGAAATGAGCACATTGTGTCCAGCTCCACATTCCTGAACAAGCAGAGACTCAATCACATTCGCAGAAGTTATCAAAACTTTCAAAAGGACTCAGCTGGTGCCTTAAGCCACAGGAAATTCACTGGGCCATCTGGAAGGATGCACGTAGATTATTGCTCATTTTGTCTGTTCTAGACATCAGTGGAAAAGGGGGCTGAGGTGGCTGAACGCGCAGTCAGACCGGAGGATGTAAACGCTCAAACACAAACAGGCTCGGCTTTGGTGAAGGTTATCGCATGGCACGACACACCTGGGTATAATCCTCCAAAATGCCCCCTGGTTTGCCCAACCCCCTTGCTGCTTGACAGTGGACAGGGCAGGGGCAGTGTGCTGCCAGTGTTGTGAAGAAATAGTATTTTTAAAGTAACAATACATGCTTTTATTAAACTTTAAGCTAGAGCTTCAACATTGACCTCAGTGATTGTTGAGTTAAAAACTTGACCAGTTTCCTATCTGACACCTCTCTGCAGCCTTCTGCTGACCAAAAACCACATTTGCTAGTTTAGTGGAGTGGGTAGGTACCCAGTGGGGGAGCTCTTTACCTGCTTAGGGCAGTTAGCTTTAATGCTAGCAGTTAGCATTTTCAGTTCTTCAATCGTTATTAAAATGTACAAAAAGAAGTTTGCTTTTTTTGTTGGCATCATGGCGGAGCATGGAAGGAAAAGTAAGACAGTAACGTCTTTGGAGGCAAAGCAAAGCGCTAAAACCAGAGTGAACATCAGCGCGGCCTACACAGGAGCTAAAGGAAGCTACAAAATCAGACTGATGGTGACCTGGCTTTGTTGCTACTAGACATGTAAGTAATAATATTGCTTGTACAACAGTTTGGTCCTTTTGACTTTGTGGTTTATTTTAGCATTAGTTGGCTCATTTTTATGTTAACTTATTGTTAGCGCTAGCTACTGCAGGCTGCAGCAGGGTTGTTTACGAGAGTTGCAATTCCACTTTCAACCAGTAGGGCAGAGGAGCAGGAAACTGCTCTGTGTTACAGTCACAGTATAGATTATTCTGTATCGACTCATAAAATGTAACACGCTTCAGTAGAAGGTCATGATCTTTGTACTTGCACAGCCTCCTGATGATTCTTAAGGGTGGCCAGATGGGGCCAGAGAACATTACGGGGTGGCACACCAGATTGGTCTGTGTGGTAACTCTGAAAGAGTTTAGCCTGTTACAATGCATTGCATGATTTTTGATTCTTTTTTATTAAAAGCAATATGGATCCAACACCCTTACTTAAAATTTGAAATTTCAATCAGTTATCTGGAATGTAAATTTAAAATTTATTGTACATTTATTAGAACACTTTGTGTCTTTACAAAAAATCCACAACTATAGAGATTTAAAGTTTTGTTTTGAAAATGTTGAGCAGGAGAAACATATATACCTAAAAAAATCTGATTAATAAACCGTACATTTTATTGGGTTTTACATTTATGTCTGATTTTAATGACTTTGTAGTTTTTGTGAACATTAATCATTAGCTTAGCTTTTAACTGATTACTATTTATCTAGTTTGTTTAACTGTATTGCTTGTTGTATTTGTTTATTTATATATATACCTATTTATCTCTTTTTCTTAATTTTATTATTTTATTTACATCTTAGTGTTTTTTTTATGATTGTTTTCTTTTACTATCTTTATAATCACTTTTTATCAGTTACTTTCTATTCATATTAGCTTTTGTTGTTGTACATGTTATATATTTTAATCCTCCAGTGTTTCCTGTGTGGAGCCCTCTACCTTAGGGCCGGTGGGCGGCGGCGGTGGCCGGGGCGCTCCTCGGCTAGTGCCTGGGCAGTGGTGGGGGTCTCTGCCCTCCCTCCCTGGGCATCATGGGCCGGTGTCTTGGCTGCTGCCGTGGGTCTGTTGCTGTCGAGGCAGATGGCTCCGCTGATGATGCGTTGTCCATTACCTGACCCATCTGAACTCAGCCTATAGGTTACTCTGTTGTCCGTGTGTGTGTGTGTGTGTGTGTGTGTGTGTGTGTGTGTGTGTGTGTGTGTGTGTGTGTGTGAGTGAGTGTACGTTCACCTTGGAAATTGGTTGCGGGAGGGGAAGTGTAATTGTCAATTGTTTTATTCTTGGGGAGGAGGGCTGGGATGGGAATATGGGATCTATGGGGCCATTTTAATCTGTGAAGCACTTTGAGTTGCAGTTTTTTTTGTATGAAAAGTGCTATATAAATAAAGTTGATTTGATGTTTCATTAAAGAACATTAACCTCCTTTGGTGTAGCCAGTGGGGTGGCCAGCAATTTTCGTGGGGGCGCCACTGCTTGCACATCAGTGCTGTACATATTAGAATACAAAAATCCTAAATTACCATGGGAGCTAAAGAACTAAATAAGAAAAGGCCAAATTCCACATATTCCTAAATCATGGATGCTCCCTTTCTGCTGGAAGAGCAACCAGACACAAACTAAGCACCAATGGCAAAAGCTTAGGAAATGACTTCCTTATTTTAGGTGTGATTGATTGTCCCCCTGACCTGCTAGACTGAAGAGGTGGTTAAGAAGCTGAGGTATACTAAGATAATTGGGCCCGGTGGTATCCAAAGCCCGGCAGGCGCTGAAAGGAGTCTCATAACACAGGTACAGGTGCAGCAGTGGCTGCAACCCTGAACTTCAGCACACCTAGGATTTGACTACCTTGAAGGAATTTTGTTTTGTTTGGTATGATTTTTTTTTTCATTATTGAATAGATGAAATATGAGATACTTGCAACTTGTATTGACATACTGGGCATGCCACAAAGGCAAAAAAAAAAAAAAAAGAGGACAAACAGGTGTCAAAAATACTAGAACCATTTTATTTCGTCTACACTTGGCATGAAAACAATGTCGTTCAGTCTTTAAACGCGATGTCAATCAATCAGTCAAAGCTTTATTTATAAAGTGCCTTCCGCAACCTTGTCAGGAAGCCCAAGGCGCTGAACATGGTACAGTACAAAGTTAAATATAGTGAATAAATCAGAAAATAAAAGCAATTCAAATTACAAAATAAATTACAAAAAAGGTGAAACATTCTAGTAGAAGACAAATGTGTAAAACAAGGGATAGAGTGAACCAATGAAAACTGTGAGATAAAATCAACACAAAAGAGGGCCAAATTCAAACATGTTCAGGAAACGCCAAGCGGAGGAGGTGTGTTTTTAGGCGACTCTTGAAGACTGGCAGAGATGGGGACAGCCTAACTGAGGGTGTCAACTGGTTCCATAGTAACGGTGCTAGGACTGAGAAAGTCCGGTCCCCGCGAGGACGACACCTCGAACGAGGGACAACGAGCAGGCCTTGGTCAGAGGAGCGCAGAGCGCGTGATGGGGAATGATTGTTCAGGAGCGTGGCCGGATAGGGGGGACCACCACCCTGGAAGAAATTAAAAACAAAGACAGCGGTTGGAAATACCTCTCCGGCACAAGACGGACGAAACTCCCTTACCTGTTGAGAGGAGATGGAAGCTCACACCATCAGTAGAAGGATCAGAGATGGAATTTTGTTGAAGTGAAAAAGCACAGATTGGTGAACCATGAGGCTATCTGGGTCCTTCTAGCCATTTCAAATGAAGAGGTAAAAGCCAAGCATGAGCTTTTAATGATATTCTTTCCAAGAGAGAAAAATATGCATGTACTATCCTCGCCATTATCAGCAGGCCAAGGGCTCTGTTCCAATTAAGGAATGCCACAGACGGACCATTCAACAAGCAAGCACACAAACGAACCTACAATAGGTGCAGTAAAGTACCCAGTATTACAGAGCCCAGAGAAAAGCTTTTTACTTTAAAAACTATTTAATCAGGAAAATCAACGCCTCACATCAAAGGAATGGAGATGAGGGACAGGCGGATAAAGAGACTCATCAAAGAAGGAGATCCAGTTAGGGATTCAACGCCCTAATTCCCTTTCTCTTAAACCCATCGTCAGAGGGGGCACAGGGCCAATTTGCTCCCTAAATGGCTGCGTGTGAATGTGCAGATTGCTTTGCGCTGCCGCTGGGAATGTGGGCGTCTTCCTCGTTTTTCTTCTCTGCACGGAGCCTGCGAATTAGAAAAGATCCAAAGACAAGATAGGCTTTTCTGAGCCCTAGCTACCTTGCTTAAATCCAGAACCCTGTTCCAACTTCCAGCTAATTTAATACATGTTCTAACTCAATTAATAGACTTTAATGCAGTGTTTCTTCCTTATCTTGTCTCTTTCCCGGGGATTGGGGACTTCAATTAGAGCTGCAGAGTAATATCGGCAAAAAGGTTTGGATTGTAAGTCTGTCTGAATGTTAAGACAATGACATGTCCCAGAGGCATTAAGGTTGATCATATATGCATCCTTAATCTCGAACATCTCCCTAATCTCACTTTCTGGGACTTGCCTCACATTAATGTATTGCAGTGCATAAAATATTGACAACCGGTCTTTTCCTGGCTTGGGCTTTATGTGCATTAGAGTTGAATTCATTAGTTAAAATGTCCTTTGTGGGAAAGAGAACGTCCGAGGTTTCATGCCATGATGTCTGTGTTTTCCACATGCTTATTGACCCAATCATCACCTAGGATGTTAACACTTCTACTCCTACACTTATTTTGAGCACGCGAGATCCTATATTATTACTTCCATAGTTGTTTTTAAACATACAATTGATTCGTTTCAGCCTTGCATGCCCACAAACTACATTCGTCATAGAGAAATGCAGAAATTCTAGGACAAAGATCACATTGGTCAGTGGTATAAATAATTTAAGACGAGTATTTCTCAAGAGCACCCGTGTACCGCAAATATTTTATGCCACAGCCTCTGTGACCAGCTAAAAAGCCAGCTTGAGTACAAAAAATAGGTTCTAGATCTGATCCGAGACCAGCTTCTGCCTCGATAGGCTCCGTATCGTGCCTGCAGTTCCGATTGACCGTCCAGGCAATCAGCAATTAAAGAGCAAGTCACCCCCTACAAGAAACTTACTTCACTCCCTCTTCATGTTTGAAAAGTGCAACAAATGCTGTTGCCTGGCAGACCGAGAGGGCGGAGCCACTAACAAATACACACACACACTCAGGCTCACAACGGCACTGTGACATCATAATGTACCAGTTTACATCATAGCATACCTCTTAGCCAATAGCGGTGGCAGATTTAAATTCAAATGCAGTGCTGAGTTTTTACCTGACAACGGCGCAACACTGACAGTTTTAGGCAGAATATTTCAATTTTAACTAAGATGCACTGAAGTGCCAAATTATTGACGACATGTGTCTGCAGCACAATTAGACACACATTTATATAGTTTGTCAGCAAAAAAAAGTTGATTTGGGGGTGACTTGCTCTTTAAGTACTAGTGATCAGAGAAGGCGAAAGGGGTGGGAAGAGGAGGTGGGACCCCCCCCCCCCCTTTTCCATCCCTCTCCTCTCTTGTCAGCCGAGGAAAGGCTTCACTCAGCTGGGGTGAGTTTGGCCTGGGGCTGGGCTCACTGGTGGAGGTTAACTCCAGCATAAATAAGCATCTTTGGACTCATTACAGGGATTAGAGAGTAATTCGCCTGCGAGGAAGGAGACGACTGCCGGGGTTTTGGTACAGTTTACTACAGTCTTATAGGGGCGAGGGCCCTTGAGATTACAGATGGAGAGAGATGGAAAGGCAGCAAAAGAGAGAAAGGCCAAGGGAAAAGAGAGGACGGCTGTCAAGTGTGTGCGAGTCAATCCAAGCCCCCGGCTGCCCCCTTGATCTCGAGCATGTTGGGGTGCTGTGAAAACGGATAATGGGAGTTAGAGCGACCGGGCCTGTCTGGTGAGAAGAGCACTGATTGTTCTAACTTCCCCTCATCGCTCTCTCCTCCACTTAACTAAACAAACACCCAAGAGGTAGCGCTCTATTTTAATGATGTTGAAATACAATTTAGGCACAAAATACACAACAAATGCTAATTTGGCCATGATGAGAGGCATCAGAAATTCCTCCTGCATTTTTCATCAGAACAAATATTCCCATTTCAACACACACACACACACATCCACGCTCATCATCACAGAGCCAATTTGGAGCATAAATCAACACATTCGCTCGTCAAATATATGCTCTGTGTGGTTCTCTGTAGTCTGTCCAGTTCACCCAAGACAAATAATTCTATTCAAAGTCCAGATTGAGAAACGGGGCACAGAAGTCGGTCAATATGTGCACATATACATCAAACACAGCAGACCAGTGTGTGCTCAGAAAAAAAAAGAGAGCATAATAATATTTCTATTCATAAACTCATACGTGACAAAGTCTCGGAAAAGAGAAACGACAGAAAATACCGGACTGATTTCTTTATCACCGGAGTCTCTTTACAAGAAGTGATCATCACCTTTCCACAATTTGCACGCTCATCTTGACCGACTCAGGCGCGCCTGCTTCGGCGCCACATTTGGGACAAGTAAGGTTTGCATCTGCAATGCTGTGGCTTGTGATGCAGTAGTAGCAGAACACGTGCTGGCAGCCCACAGTATGAGGCATGGTGGGCCAATCCCCACATAGTCCACACTCTTTCCACACGTCTTTCCCTTCTTTTGCTCCTTTCTTATCAGAGCTGTTCCCAAACACACAGGACAGCGCAGCTGCTTTCAGCTTCCTTACGTTGATCAGTGGTAACAGGAAGATCAGGAACTCGGCAAAGCCATGCCAAAGCAGCTCCCGGTTCATGTACTGGTAAGGCACATCTCTGACCACGTTAGGCTTACTGAAAACAGTCAGAGCTCCTGCGATTCTTTCAGCTAGAGTGGGATGCCGTCCATTCCTTAGGAAAACAAGGAAGTTGAAGAGACTAGCCAACTTTGTTAAACCAGAAACAAGGATCAGGGAGTTGCGGAGACCTAGCCGGAGCAAACTGTCGTCACTTTCAGACGCGGCTCCTCTTGAACCTAAACCCAAGCATGGCAAAAAGTGGTGGGAACGCTCCTGGAGCCAACGAGGAAGTAGAGTGAGCATGGCCAGCCCCAACTTTTGCCTGGAGGAGAGCGGCGTGTACAAAGGAGACGATGAATATGTGTCATGGTAGCGCAAGCTCAGTAAAGACTGTCCCACTGTGGCATTGCTGGAGTACAGTGTGAACCTCCAAAGCAGCAGGTAAAGCAGAGCTTTCAGTTCGGGCTCCACGGGGGTGAGAACACCTGGGCGGCAGTTCTGGAAGCACTGAGTGAACTGGGTCCACAGTAGCTGCTCAAGGTTCGAGTCCAGCTCAAGGGCATCCAGTTGGCTGATCCGCAACACCGGCGTCTCCGGGCCAATGGCAGGATCTGAAGCCGTCCTTTGATGGTTGCTTTCTCCTCCCGAACCAGCTGAAAAAGATCAGATACGACAGAAAAATGTTAATAATTGTTTTAGAAATGTGGTGATCATACATTAAAAGAAAAGACTGAGTGACCAAAGACACGGTCAAGTCAGGTAATTTGCAGGGAAAAACCCAACAATTTCTGTAACAGTTCTAACATTTAAAGCGGTGTTGTTTATTTTCACTGGCGATAGGAAAAGTACATACCTAGATCCTTGCATGCAAACAGCATTTTTGTGTTAAGAGTAAGAACTTTCCGACGATTGACAATTAGGGTCAAAATCCCCGGGAGTGCAATTTTTGAACAAGTACTTCATCAGATTGTTTAACCTCCAACAACATGACAAACACATAAGACTCTGTTTCATCACTGGCAACGAGCGAACAGGTAAATGTTACGGTTGGGCGTTGAATCAAAAATTTATCGTTTTCGAAATGTGTGCCTCTTATCGAGATAATTTTTCCCATGTCCATAAATTTGGTAATAAAAAATGAAAAGGTGTGTGTAGATTGGCAACGGTCATTTCCCTTTAGGAAGCTGTACCACCTTGAGTCACATAAAAATGTGACTCAACGTAATACATGTGACAGCCCCATCTAGTGGACACCTACCTGTAGTTATCGTCCATTTATCGTTATCGAGGTGAAATCCTCAATACATCGTGATATTGATTTTAGGCCATATCGCCCAGCCCTAGTAAACGTGTAAAACAACATTTATGAATGGCGAAATTAAACGCAAAGTAAATGCGTTTTGTCCTCACGGGTTCACGCAGAAGGAAACGTGGCGTCTAAAATGCCGTCTCCCAGAGACTTAAACCCGAGCCCACGTATTTTAAACCTGATTTTTATGGTTATATGTTACAAAGTCGCCATTATTTTTTCAACAACTGGACATCATTTAATTCAATAATGGTAAAAACTACACATTGTCACTTTAATGCAGCAACACGCCAGAATTTGTCTAAAACGACCATTAACGGGGCTCAGCTACATCGTGACTTAACACTTTATCCACACGAAACATAGCATTTGATCTTTTCAAGCTATAAACTAAATATATAGAGAAGAACTTGTGTGAAAGGACAACTCTGTCATCGGGAGGAATGAGGCCCTGAAGGGGAAGCCCATCCTGTTAGAAAGGTTATTTTTCTTTACATAGAAACGGAAATCACTTTTCACATGTAAAACCCGTCCTTAATGCAAGCTTTGAGCTACGGCATACAGAGGAGCAGGGGGTCTTAGAATGCTTTTCCCAGTGAATAAACACACACAATCCTACACACTACGCACACACACCGTCACACAAGAGGTGAAGCCAAAGGGGGCCCTTGGTTCCTGCTCCCTCTGGAGATAGGGGTGTGTGTACAAATCACATCACTAGGGATTAGGCTAACGGCACAGTCTCTGGTACACCGTAAACATCTGCCAAATGCGGAACAATTTTCCCCCTCCATAGATTCAGCTCCATATGGGATCTCGCCATTGTGCGGTCTGGGCTAGTTTGTGCAGCGTACGTTTCCAAACTCCTCATAGTTCTCTAGTTTTATCTGCCCGAGCCCAATTGAAATGCTTAAGGAGTGGAAGACTAACAAATACGGGGAGAGAGACGCAAAAGGCCAGAGAGAGAGAGGGACAGAGACGCACGGAGGCCTTTTTTGACAGTAGCTTTTGTGTCTCCACGAACAGGATTTGTTACGAGGCTTTAAAAGAGATTTCCGCCGGGTGAATATGGCAGTTGTGACAGAAAGAGAGAAAGATGATGGTCACTTTAGATGTTTCTCAAGGAGGTTAAGCAAAAAAAAAAAAAAGCCCAGCACACGGAGGCAATGCAGGGCTTTTATTTTGATGCACAGGACCATCTGTTTAATAGTCGGATGGTGTCTCCTGGCTCTGAGTTGGAATTAGCAAATGAATGAAAAAAAGAGTGAATTTACGCTGAAGTAAGCAGGTATGACAAATTCATTGAGCTGCATTTGAAATCCTGGCATGTTTGGTGACTAGAACCTCATCTGTGACGGGAATAAAGTTTGGATTTAAAAAATACATGGGAGGTAGTTTGAATGTGTACTGAAACCAATAAACAGGCTCCGTTTGTTCAGCTTAATCCGAAAGTTTCTTTTTGATGGAAGAAAATGAGGAGATTATGTGTGTGTGTGTGTGTGTCTGACTGACTACGCTCAAATGTCAAGGATGGCCTTGATCTATGCAGAGCTCTAAGTAAATTTATCAGTCCATAGCTGCACACACACACACACGTAATACACACTGCCAGGTGGTGGAAATCCTTGTCACAGCAGCAGCTCTCCCGAGAGCGTAAGCCCGGCCGGGTCCAATAGTCTTTTCAAAGCCTTTTATTGAGCAGTTTACAAGTTATGAATGAATATGTTTTATTTGGGGAAACACGATATTGACAGCCACCTATCAATAGTAATGTGACTATTGTCAAGGGTCTGTCAATATTAATGTAATTATGATGTAGCGGGATCAGAGGGAGGCAGGAGTCGAGGGCCAAGTAACATCTCCTGCCCACTGCCATATCAATAGCTGGGATTGTTATTGACAGCTTCCCTTCAGACTTGCAGCACTTGCCAAATATATAACAAGCAGGCACTTCAGTCAATGCAGGGCTGCCTATAAAAATTAGGCATTTGGATTTACATGGCTTTTACTATGGACAGCTGGAAATCCATGTTTCTTATGTAATAATCAAAAGTCACAGTCAATATGAGTGTTTACACAGCAAGGTGTGTGTGTGTGTGTGTTTTAGAGGGCAGACAGTTGGCGAACAAAAAGAGTTACAATTTCAAGAGACAAAAGGTTTTTCTTTAAAGGCAGTGGTACTAAAACCACGAGCCAAGGGCCAGTAGTCAGACTGCCTCAAACAATACAAACGTTTCAGAAATGAACCGTTTAATACACACTAGTCTGCAGTGTTTTAACACACACACACTGGTCACTTTATTAAGTACCTCTTACTAGTAAAGGAGACATTTCTGGGAGGTTCTGGTATATACTAGGGCTGCACGGTATTAGGAAAACCTGCGATATTCGATAACGGTGCTTAATATTGCGATATCGATATTACCCACGATAAATGAACAAATACTAAAGTATGCAGTGTTGATGTCGTCTGGCGTGTGATGTCTGCTCTGGGCACAAAGCAAACAAAAACTAATGCATGAAATCCATTACAACAGAACCTTTTTATTGAAAAAATATGCAGCTGCACCTGCTACTGTATTAGCAGCAAAACAACAAACTGCGTGCATGCAGTTTCTCAGTGACTTTAAAACATCACCTCCACCATAAAACTTTTTCTGATGCTCCAAATACAGAAAAGCATCCCTTACCAGGGTTTTTTGATTTAATCAAAAAAAATATATCTTAAAATAAGTTTAAATATTAATTAATAGTCAACATCAGTTAAATGCAACAGCAAATTCTCTCATTGCTACTGAACATTTTCTCCACTTATGTGGTTATGATTGCTGGGCCAAACTAGGAGAATATTAAGATTTTCTGAGGGAAAAACAATTATCTACCTTTCAGAAGAGGAACTGGCAAACAAACTACATGGAAAACATGTGAAAACATTTGTTTTTAACCCCAAACTGAACGAGTTTACCTAGATCTTAAAAAGCAGCTCAGATGATGAAACTGCAACTATGATTCTGATAACAAGCTAACAAATTGAACTAGCTCCTCTTAAGATAACCGGCTAGCTGAGCTTCTGACTGACAGTTTATGTGCAGCAGCAAATCAACTATCCTGATTAACGAGGTTATAAAAGCTCATAAATGAAAAATCACTTTGATGTGTGGGGGAACTTTTCCAGGCCCTCTTTAGCAGGGTGGGACTGGGAGGAGAGTGCTGTAGCCTTTTAGCTGGAAGCTAACCGGAGCCTGGGGCTAACATCACCACCCGGTGGAACACTAGCGACATGGAGGTAGGTTGGCTCACCGGCACGTGTCGGAGTCAGCCCGGTAAAAATTATTAACGACACCGAGCGGACTCAACGTTCACGTTTGAAAGCAGCGCTGATTCCAGAAACCTCAGCACAAAGTGCGTTCGTTGCTCTGAGCCAGCATGACGAACAAGGGAACGGCGCCGCTAACTCAGTTCGGGTTTGCTTTCCATCCTAAGGGTCTACGTAGGGGGCGGGCGTATTACGTGAATGGACCCATCTGATTGGCCGCATATCAGATGGGCTACATTTGATTGGTCAAATAATACTTCCGCGTAAAAAACAGAGCTGTTTTACAAAAAGTTGATGTATGACACGGATGGAAATGTTGAACCAAACATTTATCGCTGTTTTTGACGTGCTTTGCGATGGGCCTATCGCACGTCCTGTTATCCCGATGATGATAATTTTTCGATATATTGTGCAGCCCTAGTATATACTAATATGATAGCACATCCATGAAGCCCAGTGAACTCATTGTCATGTTCAAGAAACCAGTTTCAGATGATCTGAACTTTGTGGCTCGGGCATTTGACTAGGAAGCCTCCTGGATGCTGCCCAGTGAGGTTTCTGATTTGTAGCCTCAGTATCCTATTAGGTGACACTTGTGACACCCAGTGTGGTCTTCTGCTGCTGGAGTCCACCTTCTTTAGGTTCAACATGTTGTGGTTCAGAGACACTATTCTGCAGACCTCGGTTCCAATGAATGGTTCTTGGAGCAAAAGTTGCTTTTCTATTATCTCAAACCATCCTGCTCATTCTCTGACCTCTCACATCAGAAGACATTTTCAATCACACTCAGTAGATATCATCTCCTTTTTTTGGGACCATTCTCTCTAAACCACCAGAGACAGTTGATAAAAATCCGGGCAGATCAGCAGCTTCTAAGCATTTCAACAGGTACACCTAACTGTGTGGCCAATGACTGTAGGTCTAACAATAAAAGTTTATGTTATGAAGTTTATTGTATTTTGTTATGCATGAGCTGTGGTGCCAGCAAGGTCAGGAACCACTGCTTTACATCTACATACATCTAGACC